CTTGGCTTTATCTGTTTGGTGGCAAACAGTCACAGACAGAGGGAAAGGACATTTCTTACACATTTAGCCAATTTACTTACCATTAGCCAATTTACTTACCATTTAGCCAATTTAGTCACCAGAAGCAGTTAATTCTATTAAATATCAACAACAAAGAAATCAAGAGCACCAGAAGCTGAAAGACCCTGCTCCAGCTTCATTGAGTAGGAGATTAAAACCAAGATCAAGCCCAGAGAGATGACAACATTGAAGATTGCTGAAACCTAAGTGGGTTGCTTCTATTGACTGTTACCCTCACTGGCTACATTTTTCTTTTCCTACAGTCATCTCTCAAATAATCATCATAATGATGCTGCTGATAAACACCAAATATTTTGGGAAGAGGGAAATGATGATTGATTATGATAGACCAACAGCCAATAGAAATCAACAATACAATCATACATATGCATGTCTGTTCAAAAGGTACAGAGTTTAATGGGATTTAACATTTTTAAATGCTGAGAATCTACCATATCCTAATAATGGTTTCAACTTTTTTGAAATTTCAGGGGCAAATCAGAGAGGAAGGAAGGAAAAGTGTAGCTGAGAATTTAGATCAGGGGCTGGCAACCTACAGCCCACAGGCCGGTTCTGGCCCAGGGCCCCATGCTTACCAGCCCAGGTGGACCCCTGACACCGCTACCCACACATTTTGGTTGCCACGCGTGCTGCGGCCGCCATTTTGATTTCCAAAATGGCAGCTGCAATGCGTTTGCACATGCGCAGGAATACAATGGCGGTCATGAGTGGCAGCTGCCATTTTGTTCTTCAAAATGGTGGCCACAACTTGTTTGCACATGCGCACTACTCCTACGCATGTGCAAACGTGTCACGGCCACCATTTTGGAGAACAAAATGGCAGTCGTGACATGTGTAGAGGTGGTTGCAGCAGTGTGCGCAGTGGCGGCACCGGCAGTGGCAGTGGGGCGGCAGCATGTGCGGGCCGCCATTCCCCCCGCCCGGCCCAGCAGATGGGACGACTTCGGGGGACCGGCCCCCGGCTCAAAAAGGTTGCCTACCCGATTTAGATTGTGGCTAGAGGAACTGGAGGTGGAAGGAGAAAGAAGATAAGAAGAGATGATCTTCCCTACTGATCATGTTAGTTTGGGGCTCTTGGATTGTGGGTTCTATTTTGATTATGTTGAATCGTTTTAAACTGTTTAAATGTTTTTACAATTATTGTGGAGCTGTTTTGTTTGCTGCACCCTGCTTTGATAAGAAGAGAAGTCTGGAGAAGCCAGAATAGTTGGGGAGAGGAAAGAAGGAAAGAGGATGGGAGAGGGGAGGAAAAGGGCAGAAGAAGGAAGGAAAGGGAAGAATGGAGAAGACAAGAGGGAGAAGTAGAAAGAGAAAGAAGAGAAAACACAAT